ATTTTTAATATATGATTATATAAAGCTTAATCATATATACATTTAAAAGATTTATCCAGAATATTTTTTTACCTATAATTTTCTAAAGAGAAAATACTATAAAAATTTTCAGTACTCTATTTTTGAGTATAAGTTCACATTTTCTTTATTATGGTCTTAATGTTTTTAGTTGATGCTCCAACTTTTTCATGTTAAATAAATTTGTTTCAAATGTCAGCCACATGTTTGCATCTATAATTGAAAGACCATAGGCTATGGTGTGGACTTGCTCATCTCAGGTTCACGTGTACAAAAACTTGACTGAAATTGGGGCTGGAGAGATGGCTCAGCAGTTAAGAGTACTGACTGCTTTTGCAGAGGACCTCAGGTTCAGTTCTCAGTACCCACATGGTGGCTAACAACCGTCTGTAACTCCAGTTCTAAGGGATGTAATGCCCTCTTTTGGTCTCCATGGGCATTGCATGACACGGGTGCATTTATATACATGAAGACAAAATGTAGACAATTAAAATACTCTGAATGTTTTCAAGCCTTATCACATGGTAAAAAGCATTGAGAATGGTGTGATGAGCTTTCTAAAGCCCATCATCCAGATTCAAGTCTACTTGCACTACTGCTTTTTCACATGTATATTTACTATTCCCTCCCAATCTCAGTCTAAGTGAGGGAAATCCCACACATACTATTTCATCTGTGTTGTAAATAATCTTTAGAGATTGGCACTTTATTTCACACAGCAAGTAAATGTGGGAACATCAGAGATTTTGGTAAGAATAATCAACACTGTTTCCTCTCTTAGGGTTTGGCAAGTTTATATGAAAAGTGTAATAACATAAGCGCTAAGGATGACTTACCTGGTGTTTACCAAAAGCTCCTGGATCTCTATGAAAGGTAATGAATGTATGGGGAAAGGCTAGTGTCTTTACAAGCCTGAATTAAAGTGACTAAAGTTTGTGCACAAAGAGACACTTTCTAAGCTTGGGAAACATTTTTCTTTCAAATATTTGTCACAGAATTTCTTATGATTGAAATAGATTTGATTGTGGAATTTTAACATTTATAGTGAACATAATGGAAGATGATATTTCTTAATCCTTTTATAGAAGGCCCATTTTATAAAATAATATTGTAGTATGAAATGTTTCAAGGTTTCAAGTTGTTGGATGTTTTTACTGTCAAAGTTTAAAACCCCCCTTTATTTTTTATTTTTTATTATTATTAACCCAAGTGTTGACAAGCAGAAGTGGTGTGATGTCTGTAAGAAGCTCGTGGATCTGTATTACCAGGAAAAGAAACACCTAGAGGTTGGTCACTGACTTAAGGTCCTAGCCCAGTTTTAATAAAAGTATTGTTAGAAGAAAGCTACCATCTAGCTTAAATAAAAATTACAAGTGAAGGTGTAGTGTGATGTCAAAAGAGTTTAATACATAGATTACAATGTTTTGAAAGCTGTGAATTAGATTTCAGATTAAAGGTATCATAGCTTCTAAACTTTAAAAAATATTTTTATTTTAGGTATACGAGTGTGTACTTGCATGTATGTAACTGCACTTGTGTTTTGCAATGTCTGAAGAGGTCAGAAAGTGGCATCAGATTCCCTGGAACTGGGGTTAGGGACGATGTTAGCTGCCATGTGGGTGCTGGGAATTGAACCTAGCTCCTCTGCAAGAGTAGTCAGTGTGCTTAACTGCTGAGCCATCTCTCTAGTCCCATAATGCTGAACTCTTGAGACCAGGTTTAGTATGAGTTTACTAAGCAGTGTCACCTGTAGAACTTAGTGAGCCATTTGCGTTATCTCTACAGATGTTTTAAATGACAGAACTGGGGGAATGGTCATCTTTCTTTTGTCTTAGTTATATTTCTGATAGAAGGGCTCTAGAAATTTGCCTTTTGTGATGTCCATATAGTTGGGTTTTGCATTTATGCTATTTTTATATATTAATGGATAAAATATTTTTAGGTTTTACATTTTAATTGGCATTTACATTTAAATTTTTTCTCAGCATTTTAGGTGCTATGACTACTTTAAATCTTGTCAACAGGTGGCGAGAACATGGTATAAATTGATAAAGACTCGGCAAGAAGAAGGTGCAGACAACCAGGAGCTTCATGAGCTCTGGAGAAAACTGACTCAGTTGCTGGCTGAGAGCGTGGAAGAGCAGAGTAATGAAACCCAGCAAATGGTATTGATTTGTCTGTTCTTCACAGTTTACAGCCAGAAAATTGATCACTTAATTGAATTTAGAAAATGGAAGCATAATGAAAGAACATAGGAAAGCACTATATGTCAGACTAGTCAGTGTTGTCAGTAAATTCATGGAGGCTCTTGCTTGGCCTGTAGTCACATGTACAGTGGGAAGGATTTTTTAAAAATTTTTATTTATTTTTATTTTATGTGTATACGTGTATTGTTTACATGTAGGTAAGTGCACCCGTGTTGTGCAGTGCCCACACAGGACAGGAGAGACTGTCAGATCCCCTGGGACTGCAGTTATGGACAGTTGTTAGCTGCCTGCTGTGTGGGTGCTGGGATTCGAACCCGGGTCTTCTGCAAGAACAACCAGTGTTCTTAACCAATGAGTCATCTCTCCAGCCCCCATTCCCTTTTATTTATAAGAATCTACAATAAATTAATAGCTTAACACTTGTGGAAAGGAAAATAGGTAAAAATTGACTTTCACAAAACTGCTATAACTTCCAAAAAGTTGTGCTTTGTATCAGTGAGTCTTTATATTTTTGAACTAAGAATATCAAATTACTTTACGGCTTAACAATTCAATTAGAGTCTTTATATTTAAAAGTTAGATTCTTTTTTTTCCTTTTTTTTTTTAGATATTTCATTTATTATTTTTATTTTATGTGTATGAGTGTATTGCCTGCATGTAAGTGAGTGCACCCATGTCGTGCAATGCAGTGCCACAGAGGTCCCCTGGAACTGGAGTTAAAGATGGTTCATAGCCGCCATGTGGGTGCTGGGAATTGAACCTGGTCCTCTGCAAGAGCAGTCAGTGCTCTTAACTGCTAAACCATCTCTCCAGCCCCATTATAGTTAGGTTTTTATACCTAAGTAATGTTCTTTTTTTGGTATTGATTTCTGTGTAATTGAAAAGGATTTTTTATTAAAAATTATTTTTATGTGTATGAGTGTATTGCCTGCATGTATGTAAGTGCACCCGTGTCATGCAATGCATGTAGAGGTCAGAAGAGGGGGTCAGATTCCACTGGAAAACTGGAGTTACAGATGGTTGTTAGCTATGATGTGGGTGCTGGGAATCAAACCTGGGTCCTCTGCAAGAGCAGCCATGGTCCTAACCACTGAGCCATCTCTCTAGCCCCTGAAAAGGATTTTTAAAAAGTTACAAAATACTGGTTTTAAGCCATAATTGGAAAATGTCTCTATCATATATTTTACTAATGTTTCAAAGTAACTTAAATTTTTATTATAAGTATTCTATTTACGCTTATTAAATTGAGTGAAATTCTTAAACCTTAATACAGACTGTATAGAGTGGGATTTTTATTATGTTTGTGCATTTCTTCACTCATCAATTTGTTCTTTTGTTCAGAGTATTTATTGAGAATGTCCCATATGTCAGGCAGTATCCTTAGGGCTGAGGATAAAATGTAAGATTTTTCTGTGTTTGTCAGTGTGTTAGTCAGCTTTCTGTTGCTGGAACAAAATAGCTGAGTAAATCAACTTAAGATGAGGAAATGTTTATTTTGACTTAGAGTTTCAGGCGTTTTGGCCTGTGGTTGGCTGCTGTTTGCTACTTTGGGCTTGTGTTAAGGCAGAATGTCATGGTAATAGCCCACTGCAGGCCAGAGCTGCTCACCTCATGGTGGTGAGAAGGCAGAGAAGCAAAAGGAAGGGACCAGGGGCCAGTGTCTCCTTCAGGTGGACCTAATGTCCTTTCACTAGACCTCACCCCCTAAAGTTTCCATGACCCCCAAGAGTACCACAAGCTGTGACCAAACCTCAGCATGTGGCCTTTTAGGGATATTTAGGGATATTTAAGATCCAAACAAAAACATGTGTTAATAGTGATTTATCTTTGCATACAAGTGCATAGAGGAATTTAGTAGTGACAAAATTAGGCAACTCATCAATTTTTCTTTAGTTATATCTTCATAAAATAACTATTAATTTTCTTCAAATAATATAGGTTTACAGAATATCAAACACATACCCAAATAAGATAACCATTTAGCTATATCAAGAATGTAAACAGAAATAAAAAGTGACAGGATTCAATACTCATCTTTCATTAATAACTTTAAATATTAACGGACTGAACTCCCCAGTCAGAAGACAGACTATGTGAATGGATTAAGAAACAAAACCCATCTTTGTCTTTTCTGCAAGAAACCCATCTCACTTTCAAGGACAGGCACTACCTTAAGGGAAAAGGATGGAAAAAAATATACCAAGCGAATGATGCAGTCACCACCAGCGGCGGCCGCTCCTCCGTTCTCGTGGGTGCTAACCAGAAAAGACAAAGAGGGCTATTTCATTTTGATCAAAGGAACAATCAATCAAGAAGATATTACAATCATGAACATATATTCACCAAACTCTGGGGCACCCAACTTCGTAAAAACAATACTACAGGACTTTAAAACCCAGATTAACCCCAACTCATTAATAGTAGGGGACTTCAATACCCCTCTGTCTCTCTTATATAGGTCAACAGGGCAGAGAGTTAACAGAGAGACATCTGAATTAAACAATACCATATATCAAATGGACTTAACAGACATCTACAGAGTATTCCACCCAAGCACCAAAGGACATATTTTCTACTCAGCACCCCATGGAACTGTCTCCAAAATTGACCATATACTGGGGCACAAAACAAACCTCAACAAATACAAAAAGACTGAAATAATTCCATGCATTCTATTCTGTCAGACCACAATGCAATAAAGCTTACAATCACCATGGAAGAAGATATTAACCACCACATGAACATATGGAGATTAAACAACACACTCCTGAATGATGAATGGGTCAAAAGAGAAATTAAGAAAGAAATAAGAGT